AAACAAACTTGAACACAGTTCGGCCCCTCTTTCTAGATAGGTCCAACCTATCTCGACTGATTGCAATCTCTGAAACTCAGTAAAAAAAAACTTACTTATGTACTTCGGTTTACTGTCTTCTAGGGTTACCTGAACCCTAACCTTCGCTGCCTCTTCCTGATTACCAACTCTCTGCAAGCHGCGGCAAGTCTTCAACTGCTGCGAACCTCTCCTGGTAATCTCCAAGATTCAGCAACCGAAAACTTCTTCAAAGCTTCCAGCCCTAGCTAGTCCTCATGTGGTCGGTTGGACTAGACACATGAGAAGCCCTAGATAGGCTTTGATACCAAGTAGAAGATCAAGACTGTAATCAGTCTTGAATCCTAATAGGTTTTAGGTTTGCAAAACAGAAGAAAAGTGGGAGAAAGGAGAGAGAATAGAGGAGAAACAAGATAACACAAGTTGTTGAAAGGAGGGACAGATTCTAACAGATCTGCCGCCGCCACTCTCGTACATAATGGAAAGGACACATCTGCCCTTGGTACTTACATAATAAATAAAGTAAATAAAAGCTGAAATAAATAACAACTGAATTAACAAACAGACTCAAACTGACACTACTATAACTGAAACAAATAACTACACTGCTGTCCTACGAACACAGTGGGGACCACTGCAGTGGGGCCCACATCAGTGTTCTCTACATTGTAATAATGGTTGTTGCACCCTTATACATGTCTTTAATTAGGTCTACATCACTATTTGGCACTCATTTCGTTTCCAAAACCCACTGTATTATCTCTCTAAGAACCCTTATCATTTTCTCTCTCTAGATCAATTGATACCATATGAAGATCTCTCTTTTCCTCTTTTCTATTAGTTGTCTCAATAAAAAGATGGCTTACATGGTTCGTCTCCTTGGCTTAAAACCAGATATTTTTAATATACTTGTTTCATGTTGTAACCTCTACTCAATTAATCTTCCCCAAAGTTTCATACTCTAGCTCATGAATTTACTCCATAATAATTCTTACAACTTTGTTAATTGCCTTTTTTTAAATATAAGCACCATAATGCTCTTTCTGCCCTACATTAGGGGATGGAAAATAGATGGGTTGGGTGCAGGTCGAATACCAACCCATCCATTAATCACCCACAACTAGACCTGCTCACAGGCTCGGACGGGCCGGGCTTTGTCTCTGTATCAACAAAATACATTCAGGCCCGTCCCAAGCCCAGTCCTCATATAAAGCCCAAAGCCTGGCCAGAAATTTGAAAACAGATTTCTTTTCTTTTTTTTTGTTCAATAAAAAAGTGTTTTATTTATATTAAAAGCCTTCAAAACACAAGAATAATAAAAGATCCCAGTATTACTTGAAAAAAGAGATGAGGAACAAAGAAAAAATATTGTATATATTTTTTTACTAAATAAAATGTTTTTTATTATATAATATCTGTTATCAAGTCAGGGTCAGGCTTGGGCTGGACTTTTTTGAGAAAGCCCGAGCCTATCCCGAAAAAAGGTTGGGCTTGGTGTTTTAGGCCCAAGCCCGTGGGCCTAAAGTCATGTCCAAGCCCGACTTAGAACGGGTCGGGCCAGACTGGGCCGTCAAGCTACCCAGCCCATGAACAGGTCTACCCACAACCAATAACAATCCATGTCAAACACAATTGTCCCATTTCTCAACTATTTTAAGAAACGGGATTCCATCTCTCTCCCTCCCTCCCATGGCGCTCTTTCTACCCTACATTAGGGGATGACAACTAGATGGGTTGGTATTTGACCTACATCCAAGTGATCCAACCCATCTAGTGGATGGGCTTTAGCTCATTCAGCAAAAACCATCAAGTGGCTAGCTGACTCTGGCAGTGGCCCATGGGCTTTAGCTCATTTCTTGGCTGAAGTAGAGATATCCTATTTAACTTAAATGCACAGCTGGGTTGGATCCCTAGGGAGCTAAACTCTGATGCGGATGGTCTAGCAAAAGCTGATGCTCACAGGGATTTCTTGTTTAGTGATAGCTTTCTTCCTACTTTAACATTTGAGTTGTAATTTCTGTGTACATCTTCTTATGTACCCACTATTTCATTAATAAAGTTACCATCTTTTTCAAAAAAATAACAATCCATGTCAAACACAATTATTCCATTTCTTAGCTATTTGAAAAAATGGAATTCCATCTCTCCCTCCCCCCTCCTCTCTCTCTCTCTGATCACCATCACACACCAGCTCATATTAGCAAAGCTAAACCAGCCCTCCTCTCTCTCTAAATGCAAGATGAATGCATACATAAAACAACAAAACATTGCTTAGAGGAGTGATATCTACTATTGGCGGAGTGAATAACAATGTAATAGGGCACTTATTTTTATTGATCCACAAAGACAACAAATAACCAGTAACGGAGCTCTAACAGTGAAGAAACCCTTAGTGAATGACCAGCACAACAAGGTCAATGAACAAGGGTGTCGTATACACATGTCAATAAACTATGCACTAGCAGCTAGGCTCTTCCTACTCACAAGGGATGGTCATAAATTTGATGGCCAAATGATTGAGCGGCAACTCTGTCAAGCCAAGTCATCAATTATTGATGCCACCGGCACTGAAACCACTATTGCAAGATTCTTGGTTGTGTCACAAGGGAACATCCATTTTGGCATCCCTTCATCAGAAACCCAAACCTGCATTGTTGAGTTCTACACCATTCATACTTGGTAAGTGGATCAAGATAGAAGACGACGCAGATGTTGGTAGAAAGGATGACACTATTATAGCCATTTCTGCGATTATAGTGAGGCCCACTAGTGGGTTTTAGGTGGTTACAATGTGCTGGGTTTTAGTTAGATTTGGAGTCTCATAGTTGCACAAGAGATGGTTGTACCAACACTGGCCATGGTGGAGGCAACATCGTAGTCATTAGTGGCAGGATAGTTTCTAGAGCAACCAATTGGAAAAGCATTGATTGCAAGGATTGGGAATAATCTATTGATTGCATGGGGGCATTAGAATTTGTTGGCTTTGTCTACTATGCCAGCATTGTCAGGGAGGAGTGAGGATATGAGCCTTGTTGATTTGGATTGTGTGATTCCATGCATGTTTTTGAGGAGAATTTTAGAGATTAAAGGTAGAGAAAGGAAAACAGCTGTAGAATATATGTTTTAAAACATCCTCAACCCAACTGACTCTAGCCCTTTTCATGTAACCCAAATGGATTACTTGACCCATTTTGTCCCACCTGTTAAACAGTTGGATTTGGATTGTGTGTATGCATTGGGTTGAAAATTGCCACCAATATCCAACATAGATCACTTCCTTAAATAGACTTCTTAGAATGCCTTGTAATTAGCCCTTACTACTGTTTTGAGGGGTGACTTCAATGCATGGTATGTGTGATTAAAACATGTGGCATAAAGGGCATCTCGAGCACTTGGGGTTGCAAGAGATACTTGCCTCATAACAGGCTCCCCATGAACACAAACATAACAATGTTTCAAGGAATTGTATATACATGCATGCATATATTAAGTAATTCCTAGATGCAGAATTAGAGAGGCAAGATGTATAGAACTAACTAATCATTGTAAACCATTATCATATTTTTCTATCCATGTCCACGTTAGTTTCAAGATAGACTATCAGTGTGTGGTGCAATTCAATACCTTGTCTATATTTTCCAGCATAATACTTTTAACCTCTGAAACCTGAGCCTTCACTTTTAAAAGCTTCTCAATCTCTTCAGCATGGTCAATGATATATTGCATGTGCTCTTTCATAACTGGTCTGCAGATATTCAGAATCATTTTTTTTTCAGTGGTAGTAATTCCTATATATTTTTCTACAAAGAAAAAGAGTGAAAGGAGGAAAGGACCTATATATAAGAATCTAAATCTTGATAAAATTCTCAGAATTCTAAGATTTTGCTAGGCTTCATAGTGTTAGAAGGCTAAAATCCATAAGGAACAAAAAGAGCATAATACAAAAAGAAATAAAGGAAAAAAAGGAAGATAGGAAGAATCTGAAGGAGAAAATAGGAAAGAAGGGGAAAGTTAAGGAAGAAAGATATGAAAAGCATTAAACTTACATTCTTGTGAACTTTCTGAATATTTTGATTCAGGTTAAAACCTAGGGAAAATGTTCGAGTTGTAGAAAGATATAGCATCTCTAGAACAAACATACCCAAACTCCTTGTTGAGACTCTTGGCAATGGCTGTATCAGCTTTACCCCCACCATATCTCTTTTTGAAGTCAGCTTTCATGCGTTCCAGAAAAGCTATAGACACCTGCTTCCCAACAGATTCTTTGGCAACTACACAGTATGCTGTGACATCCAAAGAGCATCAAGAGATGAAAAAAGTCATGTCACATTATCCTTAATGAACAAAAAGATAAGAAAAGAAAATGATTCTTCCATTATTGCATTACATGCACAACTCTTTAAGGCTTAAGCATTTGAAGTGTGACTGCAATATGCTGAAAGAAAAGGATAATGCAACAGAATTACCCGATTCATCCTATTGCTCAGCTCAAAAAAAAAAAAAAAAAAAATCCATGCTTTACCATCTCTGAATGGACCAATAGTATAATCTAAAAAATATCAAACATGAATGGAAACCGTAATTGTGCAGCAATAGCTCAGATTCTAGATATGATAAGATACCCCAAATTCAATTTTCAAAGGAGAGAGTAATAACTTCCTCCCCCTATTCAAACCTTTCAATGATAAAAACGAAAAAACAGAGAAGACAAGGATTTCTCTTTTTCTCCATATGAGGTTTCAAGTTTCAACAACCTAAGCTAATTTGGCCCCGAAAGACATCAAAGGAGGCAAAGGAAATTCTCATTTTTAGACAGTGCTTTATATTTTCACTTGTCTCCATGAAAGTCTATAATATTTTCCTTTTCTGTTATACATATTTCCTTTTTTTCCCTAATTAAGTATAGAATTATAACCAGTCTTCTGGTCTAAAATAAATAAATAACAATAACTCGAACCAGTCATATGGATCGACCACTATTTGTCAATGAGTCAGGGCGAGTCAACCAAGTCTACAGAAAAAAATATATTCCACTGGTTAAGCTTCGATTATAAGAATTCCTCTTAAACTAGAAGTTGAATTAGTTGTAACTTTTTTTTACATTCAATCTTATGAAGAAGATCCATTGAAAACTCTCTGGATCGGTCATGCTCTGAGTCAGCAGTCCCTTTAGATCCAGTCCAAGTCATCTCAAATTCACTCAAAATCCAAATGTGAAATCAACTACGAGTATACGATGGAGGGACAAACCACATAACAAAATGGAATTATTTTCGGTTAATCCCTAAACGGTAAATCAGATCAGAACAACACGATAAAAAAGAAGATCTCTGAAACAAAACCGAGGGAAAGAGGCGGAAAAGATACCATAGCCGTCTTCGACGAGGAAGTTGAAGGTGTGATGATCGCAACTGTAAGTGAACTTATTGTTACCGGAGGGGAGTTTCTGAAGGCACTGAGATGCGATAGCCGGGAAATTTCCAGTAAACTCGGTGTACTCGGCCAAGATCATGGTCCCTCGAGCCACGAAGCTGTAGATAAACGACTCCTGTTGACTCATCTCCTGGTTCTTGATTCAGCCGGTAACGGAAGAGAAGAGACACCGACTCAATGAGCGGGCAGCTGTTAATAAATCAACATTTGCCAGAGAATGCTGGCTCTGCTACCTGCTAGTGCGTAGTTGGTATCCTAACTGCGGCGATTGTTGCTTTAGTTTAGAAAAGGGAAAAGAAATGTCTTTTTCCACAGAGCAAGCAAGGTAAGCAGGAACAGTGTTTTGAGTGTGAAAGAGAGAACAAGAGTCAGACAACAATGGAGTGCGATTCAGACATTCTCGGCTCCTGCTCTGCTGCTCCTCCCCCACCGGCGTATTTTTGCAACTCAAATCACAAAATTTTAATTTTCATTGAGAGAGAGAGAGAGAGAGAGAGAGAGAGAGAGAAGCAGAGAGAAAGCAGAAAAGGAAACAAGAACGGCCAGAAGGAGCGGTGAAATCAAATGTCTTATTCTTGAGTTTTCGGACAAAAGATAACAGTAATTGTGATTTGTGAGATTTATTTATTAGATAAATTACAAATACCCCCCTGTGCCATGGGGTCGTTCGTATCACGTATGGGGTCAGTGACAATTACCACCCCTGAACTTCCTTTGCGACAATGACCCTTCAAATTTCACTTTGAGACAAACACGCCCTCCGTTAGAGTTCCATTAGTTAACAAACACTCCCTCCGTTAGAGTTTCATTAGTTAACTTTTAAAAAGATTCTTGTTTAATTTTTTAAAATTTTTTATATTCTCAAATTATTCTTTTCTTATTTATTTAAAGGATTTATCATTCAAAATATTAAAGACATTTTGATTACTTTAATAGATCTTTGCATATTTCTAAATGGATTCAATATTCAAATGACATGGTAGAGCTTATTTTTTTTAATAGATATAAATTTAAGGTTTCATTTACTTTTTCTTAGTTCATTGGAAGGAGTGGATAAATTTTATGTTTTAAAACGAAGAAAGACATTCGCATCAGTAAAATAAAATAAGAATTTAAAGAAACTTGTTTTTCTATGTTAGTAAAATAATTCTTGTTATTTTAGTTGGTTTTAGAGAAAATGGAGGCATTTTTAGGTCAATTAGGGCTTAACAGAAAAAAAGTGAGAAAAATAAAATAAGAACGATTCATATGGATATTTTGGTAATTTAATGCATCATGTATCTAATTTAATAGTAAGGGTATTTGTTGCAAAGTCAAAGTTCAGGGAAGTCTCTATTGCAAATGAAAATTCAAGGGGGTATCTGTTAATGACCCATAGTATAAAATGTCTTTCTATTTTTTATTTGATGTGAACATATCCTCTAAAATTGCCACATGTCAAATTCTCAAGGTTGATGTTTAAGAGATCACATCAACGCCCCACATTGTCATCGGAGATTTTCTTAATACACGATTGTAATGTTCCTTCGCTGTGGGGCGCTGATGTAAACTTGATGTTTAGTATCAAATTTTAAATGGTGGATGGTGGACTTGCTCTTTCTATGACTTCCCCTTTTTTTTTTAATGACTAAAAGAAAACCAACACTACTAAAAAAATATGTGGTATAGAAGCAGGCGGGCTACCTGAAGCGTCGACCATAGGGCTTTGATCCTTTAACCCGAGTTAGGTTTGGATCAGGTTCAGGTTTGGCTGATCCACCCTGTTAGGTCATGATCCCTCTACATATAGAGGGGTATTCTTGAAATTTGCTACGACTTCTAACTTTGTACTCTGGAAGTTGAAGATTTCTTTTCATGTTTATTTTGGTTGTTCTTCTCCTACCAATGGCATAACCATAAAAATGACATTTTAGAACCTATACATCAAATTTTAACCAAGGTTCAAAATATCAATACAAATTGATTTGTATCAATCGATACGTATCGTATCAGGAGCTTCGCGATACACTCCTATAAAGGATGTATCAGGGTTTTGACCGGTTCAAGGGGTGGATGGACCTTAAACTGGCCCCTCTGAACAAGATTTGAAAAAAAAAAACTATCAATATACCTCTATCGACATATCGAGCATATCGATATTTTGAACCTTGACCTTTACCTAAATTAATGGCCCTTAGGTTTTCAAATTATGTTATAAAAATACAATTGAAAGGTTGTGGATAAAGTCGAGTTGGTATTAGGTTCATCCTTATAGGGTCAAGGCAAGGTTAGGATCAAATTGGGTTCAGGTGGGAACGTTAGAGGGTTGGGTTAGAGTCAAGGCAAACTTGTATTGAACCCAACCCCTTTACATCCCTAAACTTACTTATTGTAATGAATCTTTGTAGAAAATGACCTACGATTTTGAATTTGGGATTTCTTGGACATGTTTGGGAATCAGTTGAATCTCTGTTTCAGACTTTCAGTTTTCACATTATAGATTCAAAGGGAGTTTGGATCTTCTACACTCGAAGTATGTGGGTGGGGGCGCACTTCCAATAATAAATGAACACGTCTTGTGTTCAGAGTGTGGAATGCATGGAGTGAGACTAAATGGTAAAACTTTCATTAGATTAATATTTTATTTTTTTAGCTTTAAAAAAGGGATTGCAGTCCATAAGGGCAACTATTGGGCTCTAAGCCCCTAATATGAATAAAAATAATCTTTTTAACATAATTATTAAAATAGGCTAACTTTTTTTTTTAAATATCAAATAGGGGCAGAAACATTGTTCATCTCCTTCCTCCTTCAAATCACTAAACAAATCTCCCCCAAGATTAATAAATATTGATCACAGATCTCTACCTTTTTGTCCCTTGTAGTTGCTTGCTTGCTACAAGCAAAAATGGTGAAGCCCACTATTGCATTTTTGCATTTCGTAATGTGTATTTCGCTTCTCCACTTAGCATACTCATAAACCTCTTCCAATCTCGATTTCTAGGCTTTAATGACATTCAAAACTGCTTTAGATACCTCTAACAGGCTTAGTAGTTAGAACCAAACCGCCGATTTGTGTACTTGGTATGGTATTTCATGTATTTTTCTAACTGCTTCAGAAGAATAACTCATAGCAGTTCTGCTCTGAGTTTGGAACGACTCAAATGTAGAGAAGAAGAAGAAGAATAAGGGAGAGAGAGAGAGAGAGAGAGAGAGAGAGAGAGATTGGAGGTGGGGAGATTTATTCGGTGGTCTAGAGGAAGAAGGAGATGAACAATATTTTTGCCCCTATTTGATATTTTAAAGAAAAGTTAGCCTATTCTAAAAATTATGTTAAAAAGATTATTTTTATTGATATTAGGGCCCAAAAGTTGTCCTGAACTCTAAACAATGAAACCCTCCTTCAAGCTAATCTTGAAAGATTCAAGTTTGGGATGAAGAAAAACATGTGACTTGTTTATTTGAATCTTGCTCTTGACTGAAAGTGGAAGAAGAAAACTCGGCCTTGACTGAAACTAGAATAAAACTCAGATTTGTCTTCAATGAAACCTCCAAATCCAGCTCTCGATCTTGATCAAAGACAAAAGAAGAAAAACCTGATTTGAAAAAATATTGAATCCCACAGTTCAAAAGGTTTCACCATGAAGATTGAAGGAAGCAACTTGCAAATGACTGCTTTCATATAGATTTTTCGCCCTTGGCTGAAGCTTGAAGGAGGTCCTCTTCTGATCATTAATGGTTGAAGCTTGAAGAAGGGTTTCATCGTTTGTAGTTCAGGGTCAGTTCCACTTCTTTTTGTTCACTTTAAATCTTTTTTAAAAAAAGTAAAATATTAATTTAGGGTTGCATCCCCGCCACATATTTCGAGTGTAGGAGATCCGGACTCATTCAGGGTTCCTTGGTGAATGGTGTGACGATGGGGGCTTTCTTCTCATTTACTTGAAGTAAAAACTAAAAACAGAACTCTAAATATGCACAACTTGGGAATAATTCAAATACAAATGTATACTATAAATACAAGGTTCAGAAATATCATATACAAGTTTACACGGCACATATTTGTATTTGTATTTGTACTCTTTTCACTGAGTCAATAGATATTTTGGACAGTTGAAAAATGAAATTATTTAAATTCAAGAAAAGGATAAATATAAAAAAGCTCAAACCTGGAGTTACCTCCCTTTTGTTATTGTCTTGATGGAAAACGTTGGATTACTTCATTAGTTTTAAAAAATATCCCTAAATTAAATTAAGAAAATTATTAAAATACCCCTAAAAGAAATTTTCACTTTTAATAAAAAAATCCTTAAATCAAATTAAAAAGGGTACATCTAGCATTTTGAATTATATTTAAAGTCTCTGTTAAATTTGAAAGGAGCTTTTTATAATTTACCCAAAAAAAATTGTTGTTTGTGTCATTATTCTTGACATAAGGCTACACCAACCAAGGGCAGAAGCTTTAGTAAATAATCAAAATTAGGGAAGCAAAATAGTTGGAGTAAAAGATTAGAGGAGTAATTTGAGCACATTCCCGTAAAAAAGACAAAGAAAGCATTGTTTGCTATGATTGACGTCAAACTTCTTTTATGAGATGATTAAAATCAAACTTGCCATCTTATTATGAGGGTGTACTGCCTTCATAAAAAATGTGATGTGCCCTAAGTGAGACCCCATCCAGTAGGTACACTCTTGCGAGTTGTGAGTGCATTGAGTAAGCATTCAATTCAATTATAGTTTTCTTAGAAATTTGCTTTTAATCATATTTTATGGGTAGACAAGCCTGGCAGGAGTATTTATAGGACAGGTGGCAAAAAATTTATCAAGTGATTACTTAGTGTCTATTTGACTTACAATCAAAATCGGAATGGTCCATTACCATTCCCATAATCTGTTTGGTTCAGATAGGAATAGGAATAATAATTAGAATAAACAGAAATGATATTTCATTCCCAAATGCCGAGCAGGGAATAGCTATTCCCCCAAATGGGGGAATGTCATGCAGGAATAGGAATGGAATTCTAATTCTACCCAACCAAACAGTTGAAATTGAAATAGCAACCCCAATTCCGACAAACCAAACTGGACCTTAGTGTGTTCACATACGTATGCCTATCTGTAAGGGTTACTTAGCGGGTTAGAGATGGGTTGAATGCGTTATTGGGTCAAGTTAAATGGGTTAAATGGGTTGGGTTGAGGGTATTTGATTTGATTTGGAAACAAACCTATTTTTTATTCAAATAGTGGGCTAATGATTCGATGTTCAAATCAAATGGATCAACATGTGATCTCATAAATAATGATTGTTTACCTATATTAAAATATTCATTATATTAAACAAAATTAATTATGACAAAAAATTATTATACCAATGATAACAAAATAGAAAAAGTATAATCAAATGTATAACTTGCGATCCATTACTTGAGCCAAATGACTTTTAATAACGCAGGCCATTAAGGTGCATTTGGCATTTCTTATTTGAAGGACTTTTCTTCTTAATTAAAATATTCCTATAAATACTGAATTTTTTAATTATAAAAAAGAGATACGTTTTTAAAATAAAGAATGTCAAATGCAACCTAAGATGGTGATGGAGTTGACTGGGATTAGTTTAGTTATTAAACCGTTGGAGAGGTAACTTGATCAATATGTACATCAACATTGGAACGGCCCACAAACTAGTCACTAAAATGGTAATGGGTTGGGGTTGGGTTGAACCCATCTTATTTAATTTCATTAAAATGGGTAATTAACGGGTTTACGGGTCACATTGGTGGGTTGAATTTCGAAGGACCTAGAGTGTGCATTCGTATATTCGTACGAGTGAATGCATTCTCTTATATGGACCAATAAGACGATACCACGTCAACTGATCAACAAGGAGATGGAGATATAAGATTTTAAAGTATTCTGAAATCTCCATTTTCTGATTTCCAGCTTTTCTACTTTACAAGAACCAGAAGAAAAAAAAAAAATAATAAAATAAAGGATGAAATCGTGAGGGACAGTAAGTGAAAGAGTAAAGACTATCTACTCTGTTTCTGTATCTACAAGACTACAACTCGTCGTTGGCTTCATCTTCATCTCCCGACCCCGAAGAGTTTCCACCACTCTTCTCGTATACTTGCTTTATGATCGGATTACACACTGCTTCTACCTCCTTCAACTTCTCTTCGTAATCGTCCTTCTCTGCACTCTGGTTATCGTCCAACCACTCCAGCGCCTCCTTCAGTGTGCTCTCGATCTTCTCCTTGTCATCGGAATCGATCTTATCAGAGAGCTTGTCCTTGTCGTTGATAGTGCTCTTCATGTTGTAGACGTACGTCTCCAGCTTGTTCCTCGCATCGATCTTCTCCTTCACCTTCCTATCCTCCTCTGCGAATTCCTCTGCTTCCTTCACCATCCTCTCTATCTCCTCCTGGCTGAGACGCCCTTTGTCATTTGTTATGGTGATTGATTCTGATTTCTTGGCCGCCTTGTCCTCCGCCCTCACATGAAGAATACCATTCGCATCCACCTCAAACGTAACCTCAATCTGTGGTACTCCCCTGCAATTCAAATTAAAACACAAATCACTTATAATTAGTGTCTGAGTTCTTCATTCCGATTCATATGTTAATCTGAATAATGCTTTTAATCACCTTGGAGCAGGTGGAATGCCCGAGAGATCAAATCTTCCAAGCTCGCGACAATCCTTGGTTAGGCTCCTCTCACCTTCATAGACCTGATTTTTTTTTCCCGAAACAGAGATTTAATCAGTTCTGCCAAAACAACTAACGAAACCTGTTGCTCAAATGAAAAAAACAAAGAAAAAAAATCCTTTTTTTTCCCTACCTTGATCGACACAGTCGTTTGCTGGTCTTCGTAGGTCGTAAAAACCTGAGATTTCTTGGTGGGGATGACGGTGTTCCTTGGGATCAATTTGGTCATCACCCCACCAACCGTTTCAATCCCCAGACTAAGTGGCGCAACATCGAGCAAAAGAATGTCTGCAACGAACGGAACCAAAATGCTTAGAAAAAAAAACGGAAATTTCATGATTTCATCCCCCAAAAAAATAAAAAAGGAAGTTGCAGAGCAGAGCAATTTCATTACCTTTGGTTTCCTCTCCGCCTTCACCACTGAGAATTCCGCCTTGAACGGCAGCGCCATAAGCAACAGCTTCATCAGGATTAACACCCTTGTTGGGTTCCTTCCCGTCGAACATCTCCTTCAGAAGCTGCTGGACCTTGGGAATACGAGTACTGCCTCCAACGAGCACAATCTCGTGAATGTCCGTTTTTTTCAGACCTGCATCCTCCAGAGCTTTCTTCACGGGACCCATTGTCTTCTTGAACAAATCCATGTTCAGCTCTTCAAATCTCGCCCTCGTCAATGGCTCCGAGAAATCGACGCCATCAAAGAGGGATTCTATCTCGACGCGGACTTGGTGCTGGCTGCTCAGTGCTCGCTTGGCGCGTTCGCACTCCCGACGGAGCTTTCCCAGAGCTTTGTTGTCCTTGCTGATGTCCTTGTTATACTTTTTCTTGATCAACTTGATGAAGTAGTCCATCACTCTGTGGTCGAAGTCTTCTCCTCCTAAGTGGGTGTCTCCGCTGGTAGCGAGCACCTCGAACACACCATTGTCGATCGTCAAGATACTGACATCGAAGGTACCACCACCGAGATCATAGACCAGAATGTTCTTTTCTCCTCCCTTCTTGTCGAGACCATAGGCAATAGCCGCAGCCGTGGGTTCGTTGATTATCCGAGCCACATTGAGTCCAGCAATCACGCCGGCGTCTTTGGTGGCCTGCCTCTGAGCATCATTGAAATAAGCTGCAAAACGAGGGAAACAGGGGGGCAATATTCATTAAAAACAGGAGACAAGTCTCTGTCTTCTTCTTCTTCTTCTTTTTCTGATGGGAACTGGGAAGAAGCAACAGGATTCAAATAGGAGTTCAAGTTCAACCTACCTGGAACAGTAACTACGGCGTCCTTAATTTTCTTCCCCAAATAAGCTTCAGCCGTCTCCTTCATCTTCCCCAGTATCATAGCACTGATTTCTTCAGGGCTAAACACCTTGGTCTCTCCATCTCTGATTTTCACCTGTATATAAGGCTTGCCATCTTTGTTCACGACCTTATAAGGCAAGAACTTGATATCTCTCTGCACCTCCGGATCATCAAACCTGCCAGAGTTTTCCAGAGAATTCAGATCAACTACGACTACCGAAAAGCGGGTTCAAATTCAATCGAAGCAACATGCATTTGTCAATAGTTCTCTCACTTACTTTCTCCCAATAAGTCTCTTAACATCAAAGATGGTCCGTTCGGCATTGAGAGACGCTTGGTTCTTGGCCGCCTCCCCAATGAGACGCTCGGAGTCTGTAAATGCAACCCACGAGGGGGTGATCCGATTCCCTTGATCGTTCGCTATAATCTCAACGTGTCCATTCCGGTAGACACCAACACAAGAATATGTCGTCCCGAGATCGATACCAATTACAGTCCCGAGCTTAGGAGATTCTTCAGAAGCCACAGCTAATCCTAACAGAAATTCTAAATATCGAAAGAGAAGAAGAAAAGGTAAAGCAAGTAAGTCAACAGTGACTCAGTGAGAGAAGAAGAGCGAGACTCTGCAGTCAAACAACTGAAACAAGCTCGTCGAGCATCTTACCCATAGCGAAGAGAACCAACAATGCTGTTGCCCTGTATTTTGCCCCCATCTTCGTTGAATGCTTGTAGTAGATCTTTCGCTTCTTTGGCCTTTCTTCTGTTCTGAACTTCTATGGAAGAGAATGCAGAGACTAGAGAGTAGTTTCTTCTCGTTCGTAACAGAAAGCTGAGGGAGAGATGACCTTCGTGGTCGAAAATCGAAATTTTATAGTCTCCGACTCTCCGTGTAGTTGGCGGTTTTTGTGCAGCTAGAGTGTTCTGACCAATGAATGGTAGCCACGTAATCAAAGATGCACGCAGAGGAAGTTGCCGCGTTCCTTTTGGGTCTTTGGTCCTTCCACGTATATGGACGAATGAGATTTTGCCATTTGGCAAGTTCAACCGAGAGACAGTCCTGTCCTGTAATGTCTTGAAACTTCTGGATTGACAGCGACCCGGGGTGAGCATAAATCAGTTAAAACCGAAAAACATTTTGATTTCGGTTTAATCGGTTTGGCTTAATCGATTTTTGGTCGGGTTCGATTTTATTATTCGGTTTTTTATTTTGGCTTAATCGAGTGTCGATTGCCGACTGCCAGTTGTCGTCGAGTGTCGAGTCTGTATTGCCGACTTGCCGTCGTTCTTCTTCTTCTTCACCTCCGGTTACAGGCTTACAAAAGGTATCTTCTTCTTCTTCTTCTCTAGAACAGAGACTGATTGACTAACAGAAGGCTTGTCGTCATTGCCGAGTGTCGCGGCTGTCGGCTACCACTGCATCTTCCTCCAGGCTCCAGGCTCCGGTCCTCTTACTAAGTGTTGTAGAAGAGATTGTCGAGAAGAAAGCTCCCGTCAATGCAGTCGAAGAAGTGTCTAAAATGTAAATCTGTAGTTTAAACGAGAGCGTCTCTACGGCGACCATGACAGAAAGGAAAGACGACGAAGAGAGGAACCGGGACGACAGAGAAGTGCGGCAGAGAGTGGACAGGTCTCTGGCTAGGGTCCCCAGGAAATGCCAGAAGGACTGAAAAAGGGGGCCGGTCTCCCCGCAGAAGATATGAGTCCTCTCCCGGCAAGAAAATGGATAATGCAGAGATGTCAGTCCATAGCAAAGAAATGAGCCACAACACGTGACGGCAGGTTCCTGCGAACAATGGGCTATTAAGGTGAGATCCAGGCGATAGCTCTGGACGGAGATCGAGGTCGTCGGCAACACGCTCGGTCGACCCTAGGCCTTATTGATCTACTATCGGCCACAGCCCATCGTCGAGAAAAACCGGGCATTCCCCTGGCCGAGCACCGCCGTTGTCCCAGGACAATGACCGGAAGTTAGAAGAAACCAAAGAAGGCAGCTGGCCGATGAACGAGTCCCTCAAAAACCCTCTCGTTTCGTTAGAATGCTTTATATTTCTGTAGTAGTCTCTTCTATTGGGGCTTTATTTCGTGCATTTTTGCAAAGACAAGGCAATGAAGTCTAAGCATTACATCGAAGGAGGCAAGTTGTTTCTTTTTCCTTTTTGGGGTTGGTGGAAGGTAAGGGACAAAGGTGATGATGCACAATCTGGTCGGTCTTAGCCGTCGATGATCTTGCCTCTGAACTGAGTAACAGGGACCTGAAACGGAGGGAGAAGAGAAGCTCCGGGGAGAACCTGGCGTAAGGGCTCCGAAGCGCAAGTTAGAATCCTTCAAAGGCAAGATAAACCAGATAGCGTGAAAGTTAGTATACCTCGCTCCTGGGGGGTAGAAGCCTTTTATAACCACCTCGCGCACTCACTTCCAAGCTTCCGTTAGGTCAGGCATGATTACTTCT